TAGCCCAGGTTGCTCCAACCTGGCCTTGGACACTTCCAGGGATCCAGGGGCAGCCACAGCTTCTCTGGGCAACCTGTGCCAGGGCCTCCCAACCAAGGATTCCTTCCCAATATCCCATCTAAATCTCCAGTTTTCTATTGGGAAACCATTCCCCCTTGTCCTGTCTCTACAGTTCCTGGTGCAGATTCCCTCTCTGGCTTCCTTGTGGGCTTGAGATGCTTCATGAGAACGTTCATGGATTCCATGGGAGCTCTTCATCCTGCTTGGAGCTGAGAAGCCCCTGTAGAGCTGTTCCCTCAAGCAGAGCCTGGGTCTTTCCAGGAAAAAAAAAACAAACCAGGATTTTGATAAATCAAAATCCTGCTCCTCCCACTCAGGGAGTGCTCCTGGGATTCAGAGCTGGGAAAGAAATGTCCCCCTCTGGGAGGCTGCTCAGAGGTGTCAGGGGATGTGACCCGGGCCCAAACAACACCCTAAAATATATAAAACCCACCCCAACGTGTGTTTATTCCTCTGGATGAATTCCTGGCTTTCCCTGCACTCCCAAATTTCTCTCCAGAGAGTTTTGATTTTTAGTTCAAGTGGTTTTTCACTCCTTTCCCAGTGTAAACACCAGTTGGGTTATGGGGTTAATCCGTTTGACTTCTGCTTTTGGGAGCAGGACGGGCTACTCTGGTTGGAATAACTCCCCTGTGGAGCTGCCTGGGGTTCAGGCAGGAATTATTTTGGGTGGGAATTTGAGTGGCAGGTTGTTTTCACTGGTGCCAATCTGTTTCTTCTGGCTGAACACTGTTTCTCCCCCCAAATTCAAGGTGTGAGTGGTGGGTTCTGGTGAACAGGGTTCACTCTGAGTGTAATCAGCTAAAATTGCCTTAATTCACCCTTGAGGTGGCTGACCTGGGATTGGTCTTAAATATATTTTATGTATTTTATATTTATTTTCCACTTGTTGATGCTTCCTAAATGGTTCCCTGGTCATTTTGTGTTGCCTTTGATCAGATTTTTGGTCAGAACAGGGGGAGGACCTTGAATCTTATACCTCCGTTCAGGGCTGTTCCATATTCCAGTAAAAAGGAAAATCCTGTGGATTCCCACTTTCCAAAGTGGAAAAGATGGGTGGGAATTTGAGAAAAATTAATTTCTTAGGCAAATTTTCCATTTAGCATCACGTGTCAGGCTCTGAAATTTGCTTTTCTGCAGAAAGGGAGTGTAAAATTTAAGGCCATTGGGCACGACTGAAATACAAAGGAATTCATTGTGCACAGGGAGAGAAACATATTGACTTATATTAAGTTAAAGCACCTTTTTTGAGGGAAAGTGAGATGGAAGTGGCTCCACACATCCCTTCCTTGCTCTCCCCAGGCACTACCCTGCACTGAAGGCCCTGGAACACCTGGAAGGTGTCCCTGCCCATGACAGGGTTGGAACTGGGTCATCTTTAAGGTCCCTTCCAACCCAAAGCATTCCATTATTGTAAAGTTGCAGAGCTGGAATTCTTAGTTAGATTGCCTAATTTCCAGTTAATGCACCTTTTTTGAGGGAAAGTGGGGTGGAAGTGGCTCCACACATCCCTTCCTTGCTCACTCCAGGCACTGCCCTGCCCTGAAAACCCTGGAGCACCTGGAAGATATCCCTGCAGGAGATGGAACTGGGTGGTCTTTAAGATCCATTCCAACCCAAACCATACCACGATTCTGTGGTTCCAGAGCTGAAATTCTTAGTTTTATTGATAATTTCCAGTTAATGCACCTTCTTTGGGGGAAAGTGGGGTGGAAGTGGCTCCACACATCCCTTCCTTGCTCTCCCCAGGCACTACCCTGCCCTGAAGACCCTGGAGCACCTGGAGCACACGTACCTGCCCCAGGTGAGCCACTACCGCTTCTGCAAGATCATGGTGGATAACATCCCCAAGCTGCGAGAGGAGATCAAGGAGGTGTCCATGTCAGACCTCAAGGATTTCCTGGAGAGCATCCGGAAGCATTCGGACAAGATTGGAGAGACGGCCATGAAACAGGTAGGGCTGGTTTGTGTGCACACACTCCAGGGGGCTTTTTGGGAGGGGGATGGTGGTTCAGTCATCTCAGAGTTCTGCTTTTCCACTCCCAAGGCAGTAAATTGAATTTTGGGGTAATTTTGCTGTGGTTCTTCCTTCTGTGGTTGCTCCTGGATTTTTTTTATCCTGATTTTTTTGTGCTGTTGCAAAGTGATGATCCAGTTTCCTCGTTGTCTTCTCCCACCTGGATTTTGCTGTAGGTTCTTAGTAACCTGGAATCTGGGAGGTGCAGTTGGTGTTTGAAACTCATATTTTCCACTTAGCATTTGTTCTGCTGTGCCTGGTTAGAACTGGAAGAACCGGAGATACCAGTGCTGATTTCCCAGTTTGGAGTAAAGCAGTAGGAGTTCAAGCACTGAATTTAATTTATTTTGCATCTTAAACTGATTTTTAAATGCTGGGTAAACTTGGATTGGGGCTGGATTGCCTTTACCCAGCACTTGGTGCCTGTAAAAGATGAACCTGATGAATTGAACATCCCCGTGTGGGTGTTAAATCAGAATTGCCTCTTCCCACTCCTATTTAATATTCTAGTTTTGAGTTTCAGCACAGTTTATCTTGTCACAGCGAGGGAGCAAAGCTCCCAGTGGCTCTTAAAAAGAACTTTGCTACTTTGATGAAATTCAAATCCGCTGGCAGTGAAATGTTACCTCGTATGAGCAGTAAAACACTTCCTCTGATAGTGATGGATGGCTGGGATGTGTTGATTTATGGGAAGGGCTCTTGCCATAATTTTTCACGAGGTGATAAGGTGGTGCTGTTTATGGTTAGAGGTTCAATTTTCTGTCTTATAAACCCCATCCTGGAGGATTTCTATTAATTGATTTAATTTCCCGTTTTCCCCATGCCTTGTTGTCTTCTCAGCTGCTTTCTGGTATTTTGGGAAAGCAAACCAAGCCTTGTATTGTGTCATAGAGGTGTGGGGAGATGCCACCTGGCATCTGAGACTTTCAGCAAACCTTTTTATTCAAACCAAACCCGTCTTTCTGAACGTGGAGAAAAACACGCCATGACCTGGACGTGGTTTGGTGGAGCCACAAGTGTTCCACAAGTGGCTGGGGGGCTCCAGGTGTCGGATTTACCCAGAATTGTTTATAAAACTGCTCTGTTTTTGTTCATTTTGTGGCAGGCAGAGCGTTTTTGGAAGGTTCTTGGTTCGGTGATCTCGGTTGGGTTTGGTGATCTCGGTTGGGTTTGATGATCTCAGTTGGGTTTGATGATCTCGGTTGGGTTTGATGATCTTGGTTGGGTTTGATGATCTCGGTTGGGTTTGATGATCTTGGAGGTCTTTCCCAACATAAATGATTCTGTGATTGCTGGCTGGAAAGGAATAGGAGATTCATTTGTTTGGTGATCAGTCAATGCCAGCAAATATACTCTTTAAATAAATAAATACATTTAAGTTCTCTTAAGGATATTTAGCAATTTTAGACACATGTAAGGGTGCAGATGTTGTGTTGTCTTCCAGTTTCCCATTTCATGCTCATGGTTCTGGGAGAGACATTTCAACCTCCTGGCCCCTGGTGGCTTTGATGGGTGAGATCTTCAAGTCCACCCACGTTTCTGTGTGACCAATTTAAAAAAAAATTCCATGATTCCCAATTCCTTTTTTTGGTTTCTTCTGCCCAGAGTTGCTTCTGTAGCTTTGTGTTTCCATCTCTTCCGCATCCATGATCCATGATCCGCTTCTTCTCGTTCTTCCCGTCCTTCCTGCTCCAGGGGAAAGCTCACGCTCTGCCTGGAGCTCTGTTGATTCTCCATCTCTTGCTCCAAAGGAATCTTGTGGGCTGTCCTGGTGTTTTCCTCACCACTTCTGACCCTTTCTCCTCCTCCTCACAACATTTGCCTCCTGCAAACCTGGAGAGGCACTGGGGGATTGGTGGGAAGTGGCTGCTCCTGCTCTGCCCAGATACAGGAACTGGGAGCAGGGAGAGAAACCAGCTGGAAATAAAGGGGAGGGAAAGTTGGTTCTTCATCCTGTGGCTGATAGACCTGTGGGACAACTTGTGCATGGTTTTCAGGGAATCATGGAATGGTTTGGGTTGGAAGGGAACTTAAAGGCCATCCAGTGCCACCCCCTGCCACGGGCAGGGACATCTTCCACTATCCCAGGTTGCTCCAGCCTGACCTTGGACACTTCTGGGGATCCAGGGGCAGCCACAGCTTCTCTGGGCAACCTGGGCCAGGGCCTCCCCACCCTCCCAGCCAGGAATTCCTTCCCAATATCCCATCTAACCCTGCCCTCTGTCTGAAACCATTCCCCCTTGTCCTGTCCCTCCATCCCTTGTCCCAAGTCCCTCTCCAGCCCTTTGTCTTTAATTTGCCTACAGACGACACAGGGAATTTTACATCCTCAGTCTCCCCCAAATCCCACTTTCCTGTTGGTTTATGAGAGGGATTTGCAGCCTTGACAAGGGGTTTCCTTCACCCTTTGTGGGAGCAGAGTTGTCTCCCAACTTGGACTCCGTGGCTGGATTGTGGATGAAACTCAACTGGCCACTTCCTCTTCCACAAGCCGACTTGGAGTGATACTGGAATTTGAGCAGGTTTATTCCTGGACAGAAACCCCCCCGAGCTGCCCCACGGATGGAGAAGTGAGAGCTGAAGGTTTTGGAGCCTCTGGTTGCGTGGGGTCACTTCCCGTGGCCGTGCCGACAGCCAGGGGCAGGGTCTCCCCTGCCAGGATCGCCGGGATCGCGTCTTGCGTCGCCGGGTCCTTTTCCTCGGTCTGCTGGTTGTGATGGATAACGGCCCTGGAACGGGAGCCGAGCTGGCAGGAGGCCTGGAGAGTCAGGGGAACTGCGATTGGCAGCTCCATCCATTCGGTTTAAATTAGCATCATATAAATTCTTTTAAAATTGTTTGATTTCACCAGCGGGAATGGAAGAGGCCTTGATACAATGGGGAGAGGAAATGGTGTTTTTGTAACATTACAAATCTGAGGCCGACGATGACAAGAGCTGAAAATTTCATTTTGTGATAATCAGAAGGATCTGTCTTGGAGCGCTCGGAGCCGTCGCTGTTTCTGGCCGGGAGTCAAGGACTGGGGGGAACTGGATGGGGGAGAGGTGGATGGGGGGAGCTGGATGGAGGGAGTGGGATGAGGG